AAGAGAGTTTAAGAGATAAATCACTTCTAGCATTCTGAGACTCCCAAGGTCAGCTGCTAAATTGTTTCTGAATGGTCTAAATCAAGGATTACAAACAAGTAGGACTAAATGTTGCCAAAGCATTGACATAGTTCTGTGTAGGTTCCTGGGAGAACAGGCATACTACTAGTTATTGGCCTCAACTAGTGCTGGAGAAAAATGAGTTTCAAATTACATCATAATAGAAACACTGGGATCATCAGGCATCCCAAATCCCACCCTGGTAACAGAGAATGGGAAACACTCAGACACCCATATTAATTTCTAGAATGTCATTCCTGGGCTGGATGATTTTACTTTAGCACTCAGAGGAGTGCTAAAATATGACAATCTAGACTTCTGAAAAGCTAAACCAAACAGCTGGTGGGTATCTAGTGATGTTTTCAGAGTCCAAGATGAAATGAGAAAAAAGTAGAATGAATTTTAAGTCTATTTGATTTTTAAAACTTTGATTCTGAGGTTGTCTGCCAATTTCTCATTTAGTGTTCCTTTGTGAAGTAATTGGGTAGATTAGATGGCTAATGTTTTGTTTTGGTTAAAGACGTACTAAGACAACTAGATAGTGCCACATTTTTGCTTTAACAGATTTGTGAACAGATCTGGCAAAGGCCAACCCAGGGCATGCGCTGTCATTAGTGCTGAGCCGGTTGTCACATCTGCTCTCCAGGGCCAGCTGGGAGCAGAGGGTGTGTCATCAGCCCTACCTCCCCACTTGGGCACATTGCTGTCTTCCTGCTGCCTCCCTGTCACTACATTTTCCTAGAAGACCTCAAGTAAGGTTGCGGGGGAGCCAAAGTTCCTCTGAAGAGGCTAGACACCTCTGGCTGCTGCCATTGCCCGGACACGGGGTCTGAGCACGGACTCTGCTCTCACCAGGCAAGTCACACACACTTAGTCAGTTCTTTCTCCTCTTTCTAAATACCACCTGTCCCACTTATCTAAGAAGGCTGATGAAGGAACAAATAATACACTATGGGAAAATACTATTTAATTGACAAAATCATAATTATCTTATATGGTGCAGGTGCTACTACAAGTAAATGAGGTAGACTGAGGAGAAGAAAAACATGGCAACCATGTTTTTAATACCAAACAGCATGGATTTGGGGGACATGACAGGAACAGCAGAGACTATGGTAATGTGGAGAAGTTGGTGTCTAAAGCCAATTGCTGCTATCCAGGAATGAGGAAAGGCTTGTGTAAATCAGAACAGCTTATTTTCTACAACAAATGAGAGAGACCGAGACCTGGTGGAGGCCATCTCTGAAAGGACTAACAAAACATGCCTGAGGGCTACATTTCATCCTCAGGTGCCCACTTTCTACTTCTGACTACACACATCCTACTGTTTCAGTCTTTGGTGAGAGATGTGAGGCTGGATCCCTGCCGGCAATTCTGAGGGTTCTTCCAAACACTTCCCTAGTGGCTGCTGATTTGGATATGTCCTGACTGGACTGTATGCCGAGATTTTCTTGAGTTCTGCATGTACCTTCACAGGTGGACACTGTAAATAATTCTTATGAAAAGTCAGCAAGGTCTTGAAGCTACCCAGCAGGGTCACCATCTGGGAGTCCTCAGAAACAGGGATTTGTCAGCACTGTAAACATTTTAGGCTTCATAGAAGACACTGACTTTTTCTAAACTAATCACCCCTGCCAGTCAAGACTTGAGGTATGGGTTCAAGAACAAGGCGTTCATTTAACAACAATAACAAAAACAGTGAGGATGAAAACCGGAGGGTCATTATAATGAAAGGCCTGAAAGCAAACTGTGACTTCCCTAATAAGGCGACAACCAAAGCTGGCTCCCTGGCGGTCGAGCGCCAATACGATTAATCAGTCTGTTTTCAGTTTTCTCACGACAGCAATATTAACAGTTTGCTTTATTCTGTTTATATGGCGCTGACAGGTCTTCAGCATGTTGGGCCTACTTGCTGGAGATTAATGGTCACTCTTACACTGAGGTAAAACCAGGCGGGAAGAGAATGCCTTTTATGACTAGATAAGAACTGGATGCCCTAGCTCTGTTGTGTTTGCACACTGCCCATCATCTCCTCCTCCTTTAATTTCTATTAGGGAGATGTAAGATTAAGCTGTGTCCAGCAGGTTCTTCTCACTGTTTAAACCCCTCCACTTCAGATGTCACATCTCTGATGAGACAAGAGAAACCTTGCATATTGCTTTTAGATAAACTTATCCTCTTTAAAGGTACTGTTTGCAAATTTTGTTTTTAAAAACTCAGATTCCATATACAAGTGAGATAGCCAAGCAGTGGCTTTGGTAATAGGAATTTTAGCATTTGAGGTAGACAATGGTTATTTTTTGAGACAGTGAAGAAGGCAGAGCTGATTATCAAATGTGGCCTAACTGTAAGAATTACAGACAACGCAGAAGGTCTGTTAGGAATGTTTAGTCACATTTTGTGAAATATTATCTATTTCAATGTGAAAGATTTGATTTGAGAAAATCAGAGCTCTTCCACCTCCAAAAAAGCAAACTTGTAAGTGGTACATTTTCCCTGTGCCAGGCTGGAGAGAACTGGCAATCCTGAACATTATTTTAACAGCATATGTAAGTACAGATATTAAATAACAAACTTAAAAATCAGTGTGCCTCCTCTAGGATTCTGTAGGAATCACCACCTCGTTCTTTGCTCTTAAGGAGCTTACTGCTTCACTCATTTTAGACAACAGCTACACAGGGTACGTATGTTTATACTGCAGATCTAGTAACCATAGGCCCTGGGCCCAGCCAACTCCAACCTACTAAAAATTCTTCTTCACATCTCTCTTGACACAGTATCTGAAATAAGGGATTGATTCTAGTAGTCAGGGCATCACAGGGTGACTTTAAAGCCAGAGACAACATTCTAGGATAAGAAAGCAATATTGCTAATAATAATAGTATTACCTCCATCACGAAAAGCACTGAGGTATGGTACAGGCCACTTGCCAAGGCCATTTCACACCTCTAAAACTCTTGCATCCCCCCTATGTGTTAAGGCTGGTGCCCAACAGAGGTAAGGCTGTTTGTGATTGAGTGTAAGACAATGTACTAGACTAGATTTGGGCAGATCTTGAATTCCATACTTCTAATAATGTACAGAGATTGGATTGGAAGGAACAGAAAGTAAAGTTAGGAAGCAACTGCAATTATCCTGACACATGAGCAGTGGTGTACCGGAAGTGAAAGACATGACAGACTTCGAGTTACCCCATACCCCAGAAACAGAAGTAATAAATCTTTTTGATGTATTCCATTTGTTTATCCAACAAGTATTTTTCAGGGTTGTGATGGCTCAGATATTGTGCTAAGTGACATAGGGAAGCAGGAAAAGAAAAATAAAGATGTCACTTTGGACCACTGAAGGAGGCTCTGCAAGAGGTAACTGTCCTCTACTGACCCCTCCCTCCCCCGCTCCTCCAGTGCTGACTCAGCACCACAACTACCGTGTGCCAGCCACGGCATTACACAGTGATCATGAAGTCTGGGGAAGGAAAGGGAAAAAAAGGCTAGTGTGTTAGGTCTCACAGCCTCGGGAGGGCTGCCTTTGTAGAACTTCCATTCCTTTCCTGGTGGTCTAGCCATAAGGCCAAGTACGTGGCGGTAAACCACGAGACTGCTGGAACAGCATAGGTATTCTTAGCCATCCATATGAAGAGATGAACTCCTATTTAATTTCTAAATATGTGACCTGATTTAGCATATTTAACCAAAGCAAAACATCATGTGAGAAAAGTATCTAAGATGATTCCTATGTGTAGATTTTAATACCATCGCAAAATACAGGCTCAGGAAAAACAAACTGAGCAAAGCCAAAAGGTACCGAAAAGAATAAAACAAATCTACTTGGAATATCAGAATCTTACACTTGGTAAAATGAGTTTGAAACATAATTCTGTTGACTTCTAGTGAAAGCCCTCAGCTTTAAATTTGACATTTGCCTAAGCTTTATATGAGAATAAGTCCTGAGCACTTTCTGAAAAATAGCTGGGTGATGAGATACCACCACTGAGGAGTATTTTGTTTTGTGGCAGATGCCTTTTCATTTTATGAGAACTTGTCTAGATATTATGTATCCTTCACTATCTACATTATTTCTTTTTAAAATGTCTTTAGAGGCCTGGGGGTTATGTCAGTTTCTTTGGATCTAAAGTCTAGATCTCAAATAGCAAAGCACCAGTATTTGCCAGAAGATTCCTACCCATGGAAGCTTTTCTCCCCAAACCATAACTAATGTATACATTTGGTCATTGCTGTCAGAAGAAGAAAATTGAAAGGTGTTTTTTTAGGGACTTATGAACATCACCAGTAATTATTTCAAGCATGAGCTAGTTTGTATACACTGAGAATTCAAATGCTAGTTGAACTGTAAAAAGAATAGGCACATATAACCTGGCTGTTACTTTGGGGCACTTCGCCTTCCTCATGCACCCTGGGAATTCCACAATACCTCAGCATGGGATAAGATTGTGCCAGGGTAGTGAAAGGACAGAATCTGGGCCTAGAGCCTTTTAATTCCAATTCTACCACCTGCAGTGTTTACCATATTTGTTTCTATATGGCAAGGTCAAGATTTTTCTACCTACTTATTTCCCATTGAAAATGTTTTAAAATGTTGAGCAGGTATTGAATTCAGGAAAAGTAGAAACACTGCATGAGTGATCAGTGAAGACACTCCTGTGATTCCACTCTGGGAAAACCTGGAAGGGAGAGACGTCCTCACTGCTGTGGGAACTCAACCCACGGTTAAAACCTTCTCTTACACGGAGCTATTATGTTCATTTTGTTTGGCTTAACCAGATACTGGACCTTGGTGGAAAAAGTCAAAGATGAGCCCAGAGGGAGAGCCACAGAATTCGAGACAGCCAGCCTGGGAAAAGCCCATGTAGACCATCTAACCACCCTCCCAGGGCGGGAAAGAAAAACAAACTCTAGACCGCTGACATTTATGACTCTTACCTGCGGCGTAGATCTTCAGCCACTGCTGCCCGGCAGCTGAACAAATAGGCCCGGAGCGACTTGAGCCGCTGCCGCAGACGCACCACCGCAGCCAGCGGCTCGGCGTGGAGGTACAGCATGGGGTTCTCCTGCTGGATGTCAATCAGGGGCTCTTCGTACACATACTCCAGAAACTCTTTGGCCTGCTTAGACACCTGCAAAATAAACTTCCTCAATCAGTGCTGGTGCATTATCCAGCTTCCCACAAACTAGAAACCATAGCTTGAGTATCAAGAAGAATTTTCGGAACACAGTCAAATGAGAAAACTGTAAGCTAAGTGTAAATTCGATCTTCTTTTTCAGAGACTCAACAGGTAAAAAGTATTCTTAGGCTCTCCCTGGTGGCGCAGCAGGTTAAAGCACAGCACTAAGAAGCTAAAGCCACTTCCGGATGAGTTCGATTCCCACCTGCCCCGGAAGTGACCACATGGCATGGCAGGCCTCTCCTGACCGGCCCGCTGCCCCCCTCAGCAGTGTACTTCGTCGATCTGCCTGTTCTGCTCCTCACTCTGTCTCTGGTGAAGCCTCTCGCCGCCCCTGGGCCTCTGGCCTGTACCCCAGTTCTGTATGCACAAATAAATAAATCTTGAAGAATTCTTAGCACTGAGTGGAAGTCATTAAATCTATCTTGATTATGGTGATGATTATATAAATCTACAAATGAGATAAAATGACACAGAACTTTTCAGATTCGGTATACCAATGTCAACTTAACCATTTGCTATATTAGTCTATATAGTTATTACCTAAGCTGGAACCTTAGGTGGGGGAATCTAGGTGAAACAGACAGGTATTCTGTGCTAGCTATGCAGCTTCCTATGTAATTATTTCAAAATGAAGTAGAAAGAATTAAGATTTCCTTACAGCACTTAAAACTTTTTACAATTTAAACTCATCTCCCTGATTTGAAACTCTACATATATATGTGCACTTATATATTTGTATATTCTATAATATTTTTGATAAATAGCCACTGTACCAAAAATAGGTAAGGCATGTACATATTACAAAGTTCAAGATATCCTGGATTCCTTTTGAATATCCTGACTGCAGAGAAAACAGGGTGATATACACACTTTGAGCAGAAAGGACTAGCTCTTTTCAAAACAACTCTGAGTTTGAGCCAATTCTCGTCAACAAATCCATCCAACTCTATGTCCACTTAGGGTTGTAAATGGGATAACTATGAAAGCTGATCTTAAAATGCCATGGTTGTGAGTAGAAATAAATAGTGCATTGGAAACACAATGCATCCAAGATATACAGGGAATAGCTTAAATAATGTATGAGGGTAATTTTTTGGAATATTTACTGCAGTGTGGATTGGCTAGTGAGAGTTGGCTCAGTTTCTATTTATGGAAAGCAAAACCTCTCCCACTAAATTCTCTCTAGCACTGGGGATAAATCAGGAATTCAACATGAAAACAAAACAGCTTATTAAAAAGAAAATTGAAAACCACTTATTAATTGACTATCCATGAAGCTATAGTCTGTCCCCTCAAGGGATTCATTTAGCATGAGACAAATATTTAAAACAAAAAGGTACTGTTGCACATAATCTACACAAGAAGAGTGGATGAGATTCACTCATAGTTACAGGGGGAGGAAGCAGCCATCCTGGGAGTTAGGTAGGGCAGGCATGGAAAAGCAGATAATACTGGCTGATAATGTAGAAAAAAAAAAATTCATTTGATGGCCAGTACAGTTAAGCAGACACAACCATGGTAATTAAATGTATGGCTACTGTAGGGTGATTAAAAATTTCTTATACATGTTTATGAAATTTAATTTTTTTTTGTAAAATGCACACATACAAAAGTTCACGTTTCATTTTTCAGGCAGCTGTTATGTCATGGGATCCTATGGAATTAGTGAATTCACACTCACTGTGAATCCACCTAGCGGTAGCCACATCCTTTGATTATTTAACTGGCTTGGAAATAACACCCTACCTGGCTGAATTATGACTCCCTGTAAGGTCTGCTCAGGCATGCCAGATACTAGCCAGCAGTAAGTGTTCAGTGGAGAATAAAACAGGCATGGCCCTGTCCTTAAGTGGCCTACATTCTGTGTGGAAAGACAGAATTGGACTTAGTATACTATTTTTTTAAGTTTCTTAAGTGAAGAAACTGAATGTTATTCTGGGAAATGAACTGCAATCCACTTGAAACTGTTGCTGAAAAATGATGTATAGTACAATTCAATTAGTCTTTCTGACTCTCCTGAGCAGTGTTTATACTGAGTCAGGCCCTGCTGAATTAGGTTAACAATGCTACCTTTTAGTAGGTGAACAGAAGGACAAAGGGCACTGGCCAACCTCCCAGGCCTTAAAAGGACTCTCTCTTCAGGTGGTACTTAAGCCCAAAAGGGGAAAAAAAACATCTTTTACAGAGACGGTAAAAGCAGTGAGATAAATGGGAAGCCGCTACTAACATCAGCAATCTTAAACTGAAATTGCTAAAAACAAAACAGCTAGTTTCAGTAATATCTAAGGTAGCCATTTTACAGAACTATTAACCAGTTATGAACACAAAATAGTGTGACAGAGGCTACTTGAATATTTGAACAAATCCTTGCCATGCTGAGCTCATGCTTATTTAAGAGTTGGGGAGCTGGGGAAGAACTCAAAATGTGGCATGAAGTGTTAAATCTGGAAAATAGGAATCAGTGGAAGCGAATACTCTTAAGTTCTATTTGACCCTCCATGCAAGTATGGGGGATTCTACTTTGAAACTCAAAAGCTGCAATTTGAAAGTTTATTTTTTTATAAAAGAAAATGTTATTCTACTAGGTGAAAAAATGAGTAATAACCTGTGTTATAGTTTATGTGAGACAGTTTCTTTCTTGACAGTATATGAATTATATAAGAACATGAATATATTTCACTTAAAAGTGAATAGTTACCATCCTACAATTTTACCAATGAAATTATGAAAAACATGGTGAAACTGATGTTTTCAATATATATAAAACTTAGCTCACAGGTGCAGCTGGATGAGCCCAATCAATACTGTCTTTAAAAAGAAAAATGCGTGACTGCTAATCTCTCCCATGATCCCACACATTAGAAACATTTTTAGCCATTATTTCATTTTTGAAATAATTGACACTAAATATTAAATATTTATGAATGCTATTAATATAATTTTCCACATTTAATAAATTTATAAACTAGAAAACTATGTGCTAAGAACTACAGTGCCACTGAAGATTTGTTGAAGCTTGTGAATCAGTTCTCTTTACAGCTCTGTAGTCTACAGTGTTCTTGACAAGTGAGAAGGAGGTGGTCCAGGCAGAAATAGATCTCCTCTCCATCTTACACTAAGTAGTTGAGAAAATCTCAGAAAAAGGTTATAATTAGCTACAAACAAATAATGACTAAATCTGCTCTATACACACGTATACTCGTCATTTGATATGAACATAATAGGCCTTTTGTTATACTACTAGCAGTTACCTCTTTAAAAAAAAGTTCTCAAATGTTCCAGATTTACGTAATTCTGCGAGAGAGGTTCTGGAGCAGTGTCCTGGTATGTTCCCCCACAAAAATAGCCCTGGGTAATAAAGCAGTAGGACAAAGGGAATGTTTAACCACAGACAGCAATTTGGAGATGATGAGGCGGTGGTGGTGAGGACTTTAGTTTTGTTGCTGGAGAAAGATGTATCAGGATGAAACAAATGAGAGCATCTCAGAATAACAAGGACTGGGATAGATAAACGACTTCAGGTTTTTCCAACTGTGTTTAAGGACTATTAGACCTATTAGAAAATTATTCTGAGGTCCAACAAGGAATGTGTCACACATCTCATTCTTCTATGGGTGATTTAAAGTGAAATGTGTTACCATCCAAAAGCTTGGGAACATCTTGTATGAACTAAAGAAAACCTGCATAGCCCAGCCACTTTCTAAACCTATTTTACTACAGATAGAGAGGCTGTTTGATGTGCTGGCTGTCTTAGGGGAGGAGGTTGCAGTAGGAAATGAAATCCAGCCTGGTGCCCCTCCCCACCTCTGGGTGCAAAGGGCGCCTCTCTCTAAGTTGCTCCATACAGCAGGGCTGCACTCTTCTGGAGAGGCCACTTCACCAATTACTAAGCTGGCCTAGTTACAGCCCTCCTATGGAACCTCCTTTGAGTTAAACCTACACACGCACATATATATTATGTATAAGTCTACATATCTATCACTCAACCAGTTAATCATGAGAGAGGTCATTTTGTGGCAGGATGAGAGCCAAAACTCAGATCTCTGGGATAGCTGGCTCTGTGCTTGTTAAACACTGTTTACATTCACAGTTCTACCATAAACCATCTGCTCATTACTCTTTAAAAGAAGTGACCCCACTGTACCTGCTCCCCAGTCAAATAGAAAGCAAGTGAGATACAAATGGAGAATGACTGCAACGTGCTGGTGTGTCAGGATGCCCATTTGGTTTTAATTCTAAAGGAAGCTGAAGTCCAGTAATGCTTCATTCATCTAGAAGTCACTTATTTGTGTATTTGCTTACTGTCTCTCTCCCTGAGAAATTCACATCCCTAACACACAGAAGGGTAAGTAAGCACCATGTTCATTCATTCAATCAGTACTTATGGCACAAGTGAAAGAGAATTTCCAGTGTCCTGGCTGTTACTTTGAGCCCCACATGCTTACTTTAAATACAATTAAAAGAGTTTATTTGTTTCTAAGTTTACAACATAGTAAATTATGTTAATAATGTAGAAAGGGGAAAGACAGCAAAAGGCAACATAGTGCTACCAGAAGTGACAGCTGACACTCTTGTATGGAGAAAAAAATGGCTCCTGAATCTGCTGTGGGGTAGAAGTCCAGCATACAACCACACTGAGACCAATTTAGGAATAGCCATGAAACTCACTCCCCCACAGACCCTGACCCCCACCTTCTAGGATCTAGGAAGTCTCACTCATAAGTGAAAGCCTATATTCAAAATGATGCACAAAGACACTTTGAATCACATGATGTAAAACCAACTGATTGGAAAATGCTTAACATATCCAAAAACACCAAGACTAGTTAACATAAATTGTGTGAGTGCAAAATTCATAAAGAGTACAAAGCAGCTGTTAAAAGGAAGAGTTTTATAATCTAAATAGAATGTCCCCCAAGAGCAAAATGTACATTATATTCCCTGTGCCA